CAAAGTGTTTTTTTTTCATTTTATCAAAGGCTCTTTAAACGTTTTCTGACATTTCTTTAGACAATTGATACTACTGTCGAGCAACATTCGGGCCCCATAACTTTTAAGGAGAATCATTTTGCAGTTTTAATTTCCATTTTCGTAAACAGCATTCAAAACCCTATCGATCTATCTGGGTCTGAATTCAAAGTTCCAAGATAAGTAGACTACCCCTCCCTGGTAAGAAGCACCAGGAGAGGTCGGGTCACGTTCATAATGGAAGAAGCCTAGGGTAATATCAACAGAGCACATATGAGCTCAGCAACCAATCTCCCCCCGCCTCGAAAGGGCGAGTCATGCACCTGCACATCTTGGACGGTGCTCGAATCAAAATTTTTTATTATGGCATTAGCAAAGCCCAGACACAAGGAATAAATGGGTAAAGGCTAGAAATGTGTGTCAACAAACCAGATAAGGGAGACCTACCTGCCGTGGACAGAGAGTCCTCAGACTGGGCGGTGCTTTTCACGTAAATTCATATGGAAGTCAGAAAAAATAAAGGGGGTGACCAAGGCTTAGTACGTGCTAGACATACCTTACGCGAGCACCAACAATGGGTGGGGCATGCATTAAAAAAATGGGAATAGTGACAGTAGCTGCCAAAGTCCGCCGGTAGCCTTGCGAGCGCGCGAGCGTGCCGGCCGGCGGCGGCACTAGCCTTTTGTTGGCAACACTGGCACGTGATCCAGTGCTTTCAACAAATGACGCCGCCGCCAGCCAGCAAGCATACTCGCTCGTTCGCGCGCTCGCACGGCCCACTGGCGGACTCTGAAAGCAGCCGGCATATGGCGGCACTGAACTTCGTCCGCGAGAACCGGGGCACGCGCAAGAAAATTGTTTCTTTGTCCTAGTTCAATTTCTTTAGAAGGGATAAAGGTGGAAAGATGAATACAACCTCGGCAGGTAACAGCTGTTGACCCCGCCCACTAAGGGTAGAGCGTGCGCGAAAGTTGTTACCTCAGAGCTCCAGCGTCAAATTTGGGAGGTTTACAGGTAGCGGGATCCTGGCAATTATGGGAGGTAGCAAGATGGTTAAATAATGGTGAATAACAAGTGTAACTTCATCCACTAAGAGCGGGTGGAGTCTACACCTGTTACCTACCATCATCTGCTTTCACATCTNTCTGCTCTCTTCAGACATTGAGCGTTAATGAGTGCTAGGATTTGTTGGGTATGCGACGATTCTATGCCTAGACCATGAGTTCATGCCGCACTCGCTACCCGCGACCCATTACGATTAACAAATGCTGCCGTGAGTATAACGACACGATCGTAATGGGACTTCGAAAGGGAACTGTGGTTTATCTTCTAAGACTTTGAATTTCGTCTCTCTTTCAACTCTTCAAATTCTTCAGTTCCACCAAACTAATTCTTCAGACATATCTGCGCTTATAATACTCCGAAGTGCTCAACATTTTCGAAGTATGTGAAGGTGCCATCAAGATGAATGGTTTTAGCTATTAGTATTTACATAGAATTTTTGGCCTCTTTCTTACATCGCAATGCGATGCGCGGCACATTTTGCGGTGCGAGTTCATTATCTCAGCGGCAGAAACCCAGAATCCCGAATTTACGCTGCGGGGATGTTACCTGATACATCGGTTTCCCTTATCGGTCTGTAGTTTAATTGGCCGATCAATCGCGAATCTGTTTCCTTTGGCTGTACAGCGCTCCAGCTCTAAAAAATTGGAGAGATGTGATGGGAATATAGCTGTAAACGTCGCGATCGATAACAGCAACCAGTTTTGAGCGTGTAGTTTTGCACAACTCTATACGGGGCTGCTACCCATTAGGTACCCATTACTTCACGAAAAAAGTAACAATGAATGAAGTTGAGAATGAATCCCCGCGATCGGATTGGTTCTTGATTTTCTGTTCACTGTACACAAAAAGCGTCTATGTTCTTGAAATGTTCTAAAATGCGCCAGCCTTCACATTCAGTTGGCATTGAATATACACCACTACTAACTATTTTATGAGTGTAAAAATTGTACGCTCAAGAAAGCACCATAAAACCACTTCCATTGAATGAACACTCAGATCTCTTGTAAGTGGTTCTCTACAATATTTCGACAACAAAGGAAGAACGCTTCACAAAAAACTGATGCCAGAACTTTCTGTTACGCTCATTAACACTAGAACACCAAAAAGAAACTATGAAAAAAGCTAGTATGCAAAGCTATCGCAACTAACTTGTTGATGAAAATTTCAAGTCCTTTGCGACGATTTTCTATGAACTCCTCTTCGAAAATTCCATCGTCGGAACGAAACGGTAGTTGTCTTTTCAACGACTTCGAAGGCAAAGGAGGAACGACAATCTTTAAAAACGCAATAAGACAGAAACTAAGAATGGGGTTGAAAGATCTCGAATATCTCTGAAATGAAGACACAAGACATTGGGAAGTCGTGCAAATACCTACGCTATATGAATACTTACATGCAAAGGGAAAGGGTATAGTGTATGAGGGCAAGAGGACAAGTGGGGCACACTACCACGCACAAGGTACGGCGACCGAATCCTGCATCGATACCCGCTCGGTCTAACCAAGCCTTTAACCGCTCCGCTTTACGATTTAATGGTAATAAACTAGACTAGAAGGATTTAAAAAGATTTGGCTTGTAAATCGTCGACTATTGCAAGTCATTGCATAGGCCATATACGCCGGCAAGCCTCTACGGTTCTGAGTGGAAGTTGTCGTACTTGAAGAAGAGCAAGATTACTGTGCTAGGGTACCATGAGTTTCATGAAAAGCAATCTCAGCAAAAAGAATTCAATTTCTTTTTCATTTCCATCATCACCAATCGACTAATCATGGATCTGGGAATATGAAGGACCCATTGTTTATTACACTACCATGCCTTGTTATGAGCTCAGTCATATGGGTCATATTCCACCATATAAACACTGAATGACAAGAATCGAACCAAAAACAATCGCACTACACACCACTGAAAATTTTTATAATATGTGTGGTGGGGTGAAGTTTCTAGATATCATTCAAAGGGTAGTGCAGGAACTTGAAAACTTTATTGTCAGTTGTGCAAACAATCGAAATAATGTTAAAATGTAGTAATCAAAACATACTTTGCTATCCCTTTCCAGCTCCCCACGAAGCCAATCAAAGTCGCTATATCGGCGTCGCACGCTCGATTCCTTTTGCTTGAAAACCGGCAAATTAGACTGAAATGAAAGATTATACTAGCATGACAAGGCGAAAGTTGGACCCTGTTAACAACCCTTCGATTACATGACAACAGGATTCAGCTGAACTTGAAAGAATTAGGATTAGGCAGCATTACCAATGACTCCCATCAATTCTAATTTAAATACAATATCGCGTTGAAATACGTGGGGAAAGCAATGGAGTGCAAAAATAGCTGTTGAAGGCACCGGATTCTCGGAAAAATGAAATATGGCCGAACACTCCTGCCCGACAAATTCTCCTCATAAAGGAATTCATACATACTATGAAAATGAAATTAATAATAATATTAATACATTACATCACAATCCATAACTCAACTTTCTTGAGAAGGACACTTTGGAGGAGAGGCACAAAGCGCCACGCATTTCAAATAATGAATATGGTTGAAAATATCAAAACTGCTCAATTATGATCCTGGTTAACCACCACTATTTAGCTCGGTCGAGACGAGTACGCTTATTCGTCCAAATCCTCTCTGCTCCAAACCTTTCCTGAGCAAAAGCAAGGGGAAAGGTATGAAACTGTATTCTCCATCCATTCATTTGGAGTAATCCAAATGAATGCCAATTTGCATAGAACACGGTCTGGTACAAGGCTTAGAACACGTCTGGTACGAAAGAAATACTTTTGCTTTTAGATAGGGAAGCAAAGACGTAATAGATGAGGGCTTCGAAGAAGTTTCAGAAACAGGCGACATTCAAAAATGAACTTTTTCGATAGAAGTCAATCAATGAGAACTAATAGAATAAGCGTAATCGTTCTTTGAACTCCCGCTTGCTTGCCACTTTTCAAACCTCAAACGCCATTCTGACCTTCAGCGAACATATAACCTTACCCAAACTAATGAGTAATACGGAGAATTCGCCTCGAAAGCCCTATAATTTTTATTAACTGAACAGTTCTCGAAAACGAAGTAAATTACGAACGACACTCGCCATCGAGCACATTGGTATACCTTCAGCCACATTCACGACCAGCCGCAATATCAAATTCACAACACCGTCTTCCAACAAGATTTACATTCAAAAAGATACGTCTCAGAATAAGTACCACTCGTTTCAAATGGTGAATTAGGTCGAAACTCATACATTTGCAATGATTTGGGCTAGTATTTTCAAACTTCTCGAAAGAACATTTGTAAAAACAAGGGAAGCACTCGATGTGACACTAAGCATACTTCACTTCTGCAATCCTCAAGAGCACAGTTCAAGATATAGCTCTAGTATTCGTACGGATGAACCCACGGCCCTCAAGGAGAGTATGAGACACCGTCAAATGGGAAACAAGTTAAGGAGGACCTGATACAGGTTCCAAAACCGACTTGGTCGACCTATATTTACACCAAAAACTGGCCGTGTTATGACGGTTTTGTCAGGATTGCACCATCCACAATAAGCACACGCGTTGAGATTTCAGATAGCTAGTTGGACCCATCACGGCAGAGGAAGTCATCTAGAAGATACCCATACGATTATAGGCGCTGATGCGGTGGTGTAATGGAATATGCACTTATATGTTTCCCTTTTATTTTCCAGCTGACAGCTTTATATGCCAAGGTACCATCTTCTCATCTCACCTAAGCCTCATCTTCTCACTTGCAGTCCGAAAAAAAANAAAAAAAATTTCACACAATATCCTCCCGTTTTTATCCATTTGCTATGAGCCTACACCATGTAGCATGAGCCACCGACTTGCGCGGTAACGACTGAGTGCCAGCGCCGGCATCGTCGTCCCAACGCCGGTACTATTATAGGGCTCAATGGAATGGCGTTAGGAAATTTTTGCCTTACTTCAGCCTACTATCCAAGCAACTGCGTCAACTCACAACTCTTCCAGATACCTCCTCTATGCTACTCCTTCGTAATAGACTCTTAAAACACATTTTCTCACTCTTTTCAGAATTTTCAGCTACCTTTGTACAATGGAGCGATAAAAACTAAATTGCTTCACTTGAACTAGGCACGTCAAAGTTATCGTGAACTGTGCCATCAAGGAGTGCACAACTGTAAGCGCACCAATAAATGAGTACTGTTACCTACACATCCAAATTATGCCAATGCCAAAGGATAATTCTTTTTATTGTAATCCCGAAATTTACTAGGATCTTGAACCACAGCAACCACTTAGCGCATTGACACGTATAATTCCCACCACAACAAAAAAGAGAAAGCTGTAGAGAAAACATAAAAAACTGTGATTAGCGAAAACTGCAAACGGTCACAATACCAAGTATTCCTTTGACAAGCGCTTAGAAATCACTGCCTGACAAGTCGATCCGACTAATTAAAACTACAACAACTTGCAAATGCCCGACATCGGTTCTTGTCGTTTCAAAACACTACATATTGAAAGACTTGTCCATATTGAAAGACTTGTCAGAATTTGGTTTTCAGACACAAGGCTATGAGAACCAGGCTTAGTAACAACCATGGGTCCCACCCTTTGACCGCTCATTAACTGCATTAACGTCTACAACACCGAAGCTCCTCAGTTCTTAATAATTTCAATTCCCACTAATACACGAGAATGGATTGATCATTTGGAAAAATTATTCAGTAATACTCATCCTGACAATTGATATAATTCAAAGAAAACTAGATAATATCTAGCAAATTCCACGTCACTCACCCTCAACCTGATCTCATAATCCGTATAGCGCATTTTTCCAACTCCGTGCGTAATTGGATTCACAACTTCGATTTCGAGAAAATTCGCCGGTGGAGCGTAAGCCTCGTCGAGTGTTTGACGTTTCGGCTGAAGACGCTGTGTAGCGCTTGCTGCACTGCTCATCGCTAAATACACGATAAAGAATAACACCGAGTGAGCGTAACTACCATAAGTTGAAGCTGTACTTCAGCGTTGCGTCGCAACGAACTGATCCAGTCTGCTCGTTGTAGTTCAATGCAACAAGTCAAGATAAAAATAAAAAAATAAAATAAAAAATCAACCTAGTCAAAATTGGCCCTGGAATCACCAACGGAATAGCAACCTGTCAAAAATTTTTCATCCTTAAGAAACTGTGAGCGTGAAAAGCCAATCTACAGATTCAAAGACTCCTGAGGCTACTTTCAGAGTTCGACGACCGTCCGTCCGTCCGTTCAGCGCGTGCTGCGACGGCGGTCGCTAGAGTAGTGTTGACAGCGCTGACAAGTGATCCAGTGTGTCGACAACGGTCAGGCGCCGCCGTCGCAGCACGCGTCGAACGGACGGACGGACGGACGGACGGATGAATCGTTGAGGTCTGAAAGCAGCCTGAAGAAGATGTTCCGAGGCAGGACGCAGGAAATAACCTCCGACGGCCAATAATACCAACAAAATCGAATTAACATTACCAAGATACAGAGATAAGATAACCAATCAATGAACAGGGTGGACTTCGTCGACGGACAATGATTAGTCAGCGCAGAAACAGACGACCACTTTGGAGGCGCGCACTGGGCCAAACAGGGATGACGTCATTCCTACCGTACTTAGATGTGCAGGCAACATCAGCTGGCTCACAGCCAGTCCAGGGAAGTTCAAATTTTTGAAACACTTGTACGTTTACGTTCGCTGCTCAGCCACTGTCTATAGCATCCTCCCGAAAGCCTTAGATTCGTCTTCACGAGGGCAGTAACACTTCGGATCCCATTTCTTTGATTATTCAATCCACATTGTTAAATGCGCCAGAATGCTAGCGAACGAATGCGGGTTGTGTCAAAACTGTGGAGCTGGTGAAATCTGAACTCGCACCTCTGCGATGCTGGAACTAGCGTGCTAACCACTGCATTATTACGGCCTGGGTTCAACTAACATTTGATCCGTCATCTAACGCACACCTCGAACTAATGATAGCTTCATATTGCAAAACGGAGTCGAAGGTTCGTTTGCTAGGTCTTTAATCTGCTGGTAATGATGAGCGCTCAATTAATCCATTTCAATGCAGTAGAACTGTTGATTTTGATAATAATGGGCATCGAAACGGTTTCTCATCTCAACGTACATAGTTGCCATATGAGGGCATGAAAATGTCGTATCACTTTCTCAAATTATGGACAACTCCCTGCCCTATGGCGCGATCCCGTCGGGCCTCTTGCACTCATTTTGCCTTGCAGTGCTGTTCCCACTTTTCAATGATTGCACAGGTATTTCCAATTTTCTTTTCACGACTCTGCTCTTAGTTTTTTGTTTGATATTTGGAAGTTGCTTTAACAACAACCACTCCAGCGCACGATGATACTGAAAATTTTTCCCTCCAGTAGTTAAATTCAATTAACTGAATAACTTGTGCATAACGTAACTACCACTGATCTCTACTAAAAGTCTGTAATTCACGCACGCAAAAAACTAGGGCTTCGTATGGAGTGTGGGAGTAATAGATACCATCCTACTTATATAATCGGCTAAGTGTGTCTGTTGGTGTGTTTGTGTGTATGTGCGTGTGTCTTACTGAAAATTCATAACTCCCCGTGGAGCTAGAAAGTTCAAACTTGGTAGGAGTGCTGAGGGCAGGACGGGGACACTTACGGTGAATAGCAGAACCGGACTCCGCCCCCAGGGGGCGGGGTTTGTGCGAAATAAGTGTCCGACCGGAAATTCATAACTCCTGTCCCCGTGGACCTGGAAAGTTCAAAATTGCTAGGAGTACTAAGAGCAGGACGGAAACCCTTATGGTGAGTGGCAGGACCGGACTCCGCCCATAGGGGCGGGGTCTGTGCGGAAAAAGGTTTGAGCGGAAAATCGTAACTTCTGTCCCCATGGACCCACAAGTTCAAAGTTGGAAGGAGTACCGGCGGTGGGATGAAGACACACATGAATGGTAGCAAAACCAGTCTCCCCCCACAATGGGCAGGATATGAGCAGAAATTAATAACTCTTGTCCCCGTGAGCCTAGAAAGTTCAGTTTTTGAAGGAGTACTTGCAACAGGATGTGGACAGTTGTAGCGGGTAGCAGGACCGACTCCACCCACAGGGAGCGGGGTTTGCAAAAAAATTGTTGATTTGGTCCTGGGCGTTCAAACTTGGTAGGATTACTGGAAACATGATGGGAACACTTATGGAGGGTGGCAGGACCGGACCCCGCCCACGAGGGGGGTGGGGGTTTGCGCGAAAATTGACAATTTGGCCCTAGGGCATTCAAAGTATTCCAATTGCACGGAAACTTCACGGAGGTACGCTTCCTAGCCCATCTGCCTTCTTTTCTCTGAATAATCGCCTTTGTGATATTATACGATGTTCTATCCGGACACCCCGAAGATGGCTTAAAGAAAAGCCGCTCCTAATTCGGAGCTAATACTGATGGTGTAGAGCTTTCAAAGAAAAAGGAGAATCCGAAGTGTGATTTACGCATAGCAAATTTCTTACAAGAAGGAGGAGAGCCCGGAGAAGCCGGGGGACACCATAAGATGGAGGGAGCCCGGCGTTAGCCGGGCGGCGCGACTGGTGCAAATCATAATGTGACGGCCATTTATATGCGCTAACCCACTGCAATGTCTTCATTGTACTCTGGGTTTGTTTTAGCTTCAGGACTTCATATTGGATGTAGCGTTTAATTCACTGTTGTTTCAAAACATATTTGAAGAAATAGATAGATAAGTGTAGGGTTTTTACAATGCTCGTCTCCTCACTGTCAGTCGTGCTCATACGAGTTTTTTCGTGGTACCACCCTCCACTGCCATCTGTCTGTTTCATATTTTGGAGTTCATTCCAGAAAAAGGGCTCGACGGTGACGGTCTGAAATCCAAAGATGATTCGTCGTCGTAGTCTCGGAATGAGTAAGATGTGTGCTTCACCGCCTTCTGCTGTTCATGAGCAGTTTCGTAGTCCGTTGGTCGCACCGAATTCATATGAAGAGGGATCAAAGAGGAAGAGGAAGAAACCCTTGAAGATCCAGGTTGTTACTCTAGAATGGATGCCGTTAGACTCCACAGATACTTATAAATCTTTAGACTAGAAACGGATACAGCTGTAGTTTGTGACCATGACAGAAAGCTCTAATTTACTTCTTAGTCAAGCCCGGCTCGTTATTAGGGCTCGCCAGTGATGAGAAGCGATAAGAAAATGAAGAGTTTAGCAAGCATGCTTCTGACATGCTATGCATTGATATCTGGGTTGTGTTTTTGATGTACCCTGTGTCCTTTATCTATGTTCATATGCCTAGTATTCAGTCGTTCTGTAATTTTTGAGTTTTGTCATTTCCGCTGTGCAGATGCTTCCCCTAGAATCCGTTCAACAGCCGAAGAGAAGATGTCATAGACCCCCATCGGTTCAAGCTGATTGACCGTAGCACTTCGGTAACTGGAGGGGCTGCCGAGCATGAAGTGATGATTGCTCGCCTTCTTTCCAGGCCGTTCACCATACCGTTAGCCGGTTATTCTTGTAAGTTTATATTCCCGGTTATTCTTTTGTGTTTAAATTTCACACTTTCTTCAACACCGTAATGAAACCTGTTTACTACAGTATCGGGCCGTGTCTTAGGAATGGCTCGTTGTAGAAGGCATGTTTCTATGTTCGATCCTTACGCAGAAAATGCTGTGGTACTCTTCACACCACCTACTTTATCAGCACATGAGCAGATGCGGAAGAAGGAAGACAACTTGGTAAGGAGTTCTAATACCGATTGTATTGCGGGGTGTTTTCAACGGTATTGCTTGTACAGGTTCATGTGGTCGTTGACCCCATAATTGGTCAAGTTTTACGGCCGCATCAAATTGAAGGCGTGCAATTCATGTACAACTGTGTGACTGGACGGAATATCGAGGGGTATCTTTCTTTTCTTCAATGACTTGTACTCCGCTATCTGAATATCGTAAGAATGCTTGCATGTGACAAGGCGACATAAGGCAAGAATAATTTAGCGCGGCTTTTGCTTCCCCTATGTGGATTAACTTGTTAATTACATGGTGGTTAAGTTCTACAGCAAGGCTCACACGCAACTTCATGCCCCTCTTACGCTTCTTCAAAACTCTACTTGGCTTGATAATATCGTGACGAGAGAATGAAGTCTACTCTAGGCGACTTCAGAGTTTAGCGACGTGCGTTGCTGACACCCACTGTTGGACGTCTGTTGCTGACGGCCTCTGGGTTGGACATCTTAGATCAGCGCTGTCAATAGGTGTCCAGTGCCGCACATCGCTGTATTCCGAAAGCGCCCTTTGTGACATTAGATGTGAAATAATGATTGATCGTAGTGTAAATAGATCAATGTTCAGATATTACGGGTGTATAATGGCTGATGAAATGGGTCTGGGAAAGACATTACAGTGCATTACATTACTCTACACCTTACTTCGCCAGAGTCCCGAAGGTAAACCGACCATTTCCAAAGCAATCATCGTGAGCCCCAGCAGTTTAGTTAAGGTATTTAATTCACTATATTTTGCGTACTCAGATTGAGCTATTTTCTTATCTTGCGCTTGTTTGTAAACTGATTAAGAACTGGGACAAGGAGATTAAAAAATGGCTTGGTCAGAGATTAAGCGCTTTGCCAATGGATTCGGGCAACAAACAGGAGATAACGAACAAACTTAGTTGGTAAACTTTGCTTGTTTACACATAACCGTTCCCAACAGACTCGACACGCTGTCTATTCAGAAAATTATATGGCTGATGGACGAGTGAGAGTTGCGAGTCCTGTGTTGATCATTTCCTATGAGACGTTTCGATTGTATGCAAAAATTCTTCACTCAAGCACTATAGGAATGGTAATATGTGATGAGGTAGTTTTTATTACTGTATCTTACAATAGTATCCTTAAGTTCAATCTTCGTATTGCAAGCCGATTCTAACAAATCGAACTGCCTCATTACGCATCATTTGACCAGCCTTGAAGCGCATCACTTAAGCTCTCCCACCATCTTCCAGACGTCTGTTAAGGGTCATCGTTTGAAAAACAGTGACAATCTGACTTATCAGGCCCTCAATGGTCTTCAATGTACACGACGAGTACTTATATCTGGAACTCCGATACAAAATGATCTCCTCGAATACTACAGGTAGAACTAATTTCATTCTCTCAGAATCTCACACAAGAATTAACAGCAAATCGATCGAACAGCAAATCGATCGATGAAACCACTTTTTCAGTTTGGTGAACTTTGTTAATCCTGGATTGTTTGGAGCTGCCAGCGAGTTTAGAAAACGATACGAGAATCTTATTCTACGGTAAAAATTTGTGTTGCTTTAGTGAACATGAGTCTTTCCTACATCAGACAATCGTAAATTATTCATCAGTGGTCGTGATGGAAATGCCACCGAAGAAGAGCAAAAAAAAGGGGAGGAAGCAACAAAAGAAATGGTGACTCTAGTCGAAAAATGTATTATCCGGCGCACAAGTACCTTGCTGACAAAATATTTACCGGTTTGTTTCGAACAGTCTTGCGTTGAACCTATGTTGTTCGATAAATTGCTTTGTCCCACGGATTTCCGTTAGGGAAATATTTTGTATCGCGGATTAATCTGCAATTTTTGGATTACAGATCAAATATGAGCACATCATTTGTTGTCGCAATACGGAATTACAAGATTCAATATACAACAATCTCATTGAGACCGAAAAGAAGAATAGAGCAATGGATAAGGATGTTAGGGAAGAATGCTATGTCGCAATGACCGTTCAAAATCAAATCTTCTAGGCCAAAGGCGCAACGGCATCGGCATTATCCTTCATTAATCACCTCAAAAAACTAAGTAATCATCCGTATTTAGTATATGAGGAATTACTGAAATCCGACAGTCGCTTCCACAGTGAGTTTGTGAGGTTGTTCGGCAGGTAGCCGATCTTGTCTTCCATTTTTCATCATAATATGGATTACCCAAAATTATCGTAAACTGTGCCTATAAGCAATTGAAATTGTATTTCTGATACAGCACCCGACTTTAGCCTAAGTCGACTGATGGGATTCCGGTGGTTTGATGATTTTAACTTTTCAGACTGCTTGGATTTGTTTCCAGAGTCGTTCGCCAGGAAGTTTGACCCATCGACATCTGGAAAAATGAAGGTTTATTTGATTGAGATCTCCATATATTTTGCTTTAAAATTACTTAAACCTTAACTTTCTTTCCTGCTCTCTACTTTCACTCCGATGCTTTTGTAAATATATTTTAATGGCTCAGGTTCTAGACTACATTCTAGCGGTGGCTCGAAAGACGACTAAAGACAAATTTGTGCTGGTATCGAATTACACTCAAACTATTGATCAATTTGTTGAAGTTAGTTCCACATAAACACTGCGGCGTTCTTTTTTTACTTCAAGAGAAATCAGCTTTACAGCTTTGTAAACTAAGAGGTTACGGTTATGTGCGGTTGGATGGAACTATGTCCATAAAACAACGTTCTAAAGCGGTCGAGAAATTCAATGATCCAGAGGTATTTTCCTAATTGACCTGGAGGTAGTAGGTGTGATTAATGCCGTACGAACTGCTTACTAAGCTAATGGTTTGAAGGCACAGTTCACGATGAAAAATTGTGTATGAGTTCTCCTCCTGTGAACTCTCTGTGGCCCCCAAGAGTAACAGGAAGGACGCTGTCTGGTCCAAAATTTCAACAGCTAGGGCATACGCCCGGATGCCACGCCCGTCGACCGATTATGTGTCAGACTGGTGTCAAGGCATACAGATTACAATATTCGCGCCAGGACCCACACGTTCGTGGCAGAGTTTTCGCCTTTTCTATTATTCTCTGTTATTCTTTTTGCTTTGCGATCCTTTCTCTAACGTTCTACCTCAAGAGGCTGAAAAGGGGTGGGCTATTTCTTCTGTTACTAATGTTTTTGCTACTTTTGCGCGCTTTTTATTCGCCTTCATCGCACTATATTCCACCTCAACCTTCATTTTACTCTGAATCTGGATTACCCGAAATTATCGTGAACTGTGCCTTTAAATGGTGTTACATAAATGGTGTATTCTACTTGACTCTGAAAGATTTTCAGAGCAACGATTTCTGTTTCCTTCTGTCATCCAAAGCTGGTGGCTGCGGTCTTAATCTGATAGGAGCTAATAGGTGATACCTATACAAAAATGTTGAAGTCGTACTTGTTTTGGAAAAGCTCCGCTTTTAGGTTAGTGATGTTTGATCCTGATTGGAATCCTGCCAATGATGACCAAGCGATGGCTCGTGTATGGCGTGACGGGCAGAAGAAGAACTGTTTCATCTACCGATTACTAGCGGTAAGCATGTCAGTGTTCTTTTTTCAGCGGTACTTGTTGACCTCTTTTTTTCACAGACTGGATCAATTGAAGAGAAAATGTTCCAACGACAAACTCATAAGAAAGCTCTTTCGTCATGTGTGGTAGATGCTGGGGAAGATGTTGCTCGACATTTTAGTACGGATCAACTGAAGGAATTGTTCAAACTTGAAGTGGGCACTCCCTCAGATACGCACACGAAGTAAGAACTAATCAGATGTGCAGTACTTCTAATGCATCAATATTGGGTTGCTCGGAAAATTCCCGCCAATTTTGGATGAACTGTGTTTACCTTTCTCATTTTTTAACGTCTGCTAAGTTTCCTCGAGTTCTCTTTATGCAGAGCCGGTGTGAAGGTGGAGGATCATGGAGAGCGTTTTGACACCTATACTTTTTTTACGGCGAAAGCAAGTTGTCACCTCGAACGGTGAAGGAAAGATGTTATCCATGGTGGCAATGCTCTATCGTTACACGCAGTGTGTGTATGCTTCGCAACATTAGACGTAGAGCCCATACTGAGTGATAACTTACGAGAAATCGAAATGGATTCGGCGCATAACTACTCATCAAATAGCGGAAAGGTTCACGTGTCGAAATTCAACTATTCAATACACTTTGGTGAAACTTGGTTGGCCAGCCGCCTTAACATTGAGTGTCTCATAAAATAACGGAGCGTAGAATGTTGAGAAAACGAAAATTCGTACGCGAAAGATTGCGATACCTTGCTGGTGGGACGAGGAGTTGCCAGTTGTGAACTGTTAGAGCGAAGCCAAACGTTCCTCTGTGATTTATACTTACATAGCTGCATAATTCAAAGGCAGCAATAAAATAGAAACCCTGGACTAAGTTCAGAAATAGCAAATCTCGAGGTATATAGTTTTCCACAGAGCAACGCCAAGCGCTCGTACATTGACGACCCGTTAAAAAATAATGAAGTTTAGATTAGACTTCTTAACACATCCCCCAAATAGTTCGGATATATCACATCATATATCTTATCGCATCTCTGCAGAATTCGTTTTGTGCTAATCGTTTGATTCTTGGAGGACTGCAAAACGCACCTAGAACAGCTTTTTGATCTTAAGTCTGGAACTTTTTATGAAAACGTGCAATGAAACTTTCAGAAAGATGGCGAATTCTCATTTGCAGAATGAGATATACAGTGCCTAGTAAACGAATACCTTCCTTCAGAAACTTTTACATAACTTCGACCCCAAAAAACCTGACGTAAATCACCGAAAAACCCAACATGCGGTGAAAGGGTGTTGGTGAACTTCAAACGGTAAATGCTTTCCCATCAATCATCTATCAATTCCAGTGTTGTTTGGGAATAGGATTGGTTCCAATAATGCATTCCCGATCCCATTTCTCTAACAAACCTTTTTAACGGCAGACTGGTTTCCAACTGATAGCTTTTCTCGTTCTGAGGTAGAGAGGTAGGGACAGCACGGTTGAGATAGATGTAGCAGAGGTAATACGAAAAAATCGAATGAGAGTGTAGCAGCCTTACGCTCCCTTATCACTGAAAACGACGACCACAATTTGATGGGTTCCTCATCCCATCGTTAACAATACGCCCGCTTTCAAGTCTGCTCAGTTTATAACTTTTACCGCACTACTTTTTTGATGAGTTCCTCACCCCACATCGTCAACCATACATTCACTTTCAAGTCTACTCTTTTAGCACTTTTACCGCACTACATTTAGATCAGTTTGTAGCCTTCAATTTGATGGATTCTATTCAGATTGAAGTGTAAGCGATGCATCAATGGCATAGAAAGCGTTGATCCACCAGAAACGGCAGATTGCACATCGGACTTAGCGGTATGGCACCACTCACAACGAGATCCTCGCAAGGTGAAACCAGCTTGTTTCACGACCGTTATGTAGTCGCCATCATTTCTCCGCTCCCCTTTCAGATGCAGATATCAAGTTCAGAATTCAAAATACATCTCAAGATAATTGATGAGATAATTGATAAAAACTTCGTATTTAGATTGCCGACCCAATTTTGCGATCGGTTTTCAATTGTGGCACTATTTCATTTGTCTTCCATCAAAAGTCCCATAAAGCGGAAGTGCCAAAAAAGAAGCCGGTTAGGGAGGATGAAGAATATAAGCCGCTGGATGAAGAAGTTGAGTGAAGTGCAAATATGAGGAATGCCACCAATCTTTCTATTTTATTAACCAATTGGCAGCGGTGGCGTTCAGCACAATTTTGTTTCCTTTTACACATTCTGATTTCATGTTATCAGATCAGATGGTATCAGTTATGAAATCCTAGACTATATGTTCAAACTGTATATCTTAGAGTCTTTTCAACATTTTTACACGAGCATGTTGTTATTTTTAATAACATTATTTTGTAATTGTAGCCAAATTCTCCATGTTCGCCTTTCTTTAAACCTGGGCATCTGTACTGTTATTTGTCAACTCTTCTGTGCCATACAGGTTTTTAATGGTGAAATCTTTATTCGCCTNAGGCGAATAAAGATTTCACCATTAAAAACCTGTATGGCACAGAAGAGTTGACAAATAACTGTAGCCAAATTATTCAGTGTTGTGCTTTCATTCTGAGTCAATCGCAGTATGATTCTCTATAAACCGTTACACGATAATTCCATCAATAAAACGGTTGCTAGTCTTGAGTAGGGAAAGGACGTTAGGTCGCACTGGCCATCCAAGATGAGATGTATGCCGACGTAAGTACTTTCAAATGCTGATCTCAATTCTGATACTGGGAACAATGTTACGGGCCCATTCCCCCGGGTGTAATACCACTTTGTTGTTTTTATACGAGAACCAAGCAAAGCTAAACGTGCAGCGATGGCACAGTTGGTAGAACGACGGACTGGTAGGTGCGACATGGAAGTTCAGTACTTGAAGCATGTGCTTTTTTTGCTTTTTATTAAAAGGATCTTAAACGCTCGCAAACCCTTTTACGCATCATGTAGACTAGCTAAAGCCCTCCTTCATGTGTATGGAGCAGAAGAAATGCTTACAGAAGTAAAGTTTTCGTCGCTTCCACATACCGAATAGAGGTACATAGAACCCTTTTGCTCCCTGAAGTTAAGATGTGGTCACGAATTTTAACAGAAACTAGTGAAGGGTTGGGTTAGATCGTGCGTTGGATCAACAGCTTTGCCTCCATCCCTTCTGATTGTTTACTCATGGAGCTAGTTCAAGGACCATAATGAAATTCGGGGTGCTTCGCAAAATGGCAGGCGGTGAAGGTACTCAACATTCCACGTGGCGCAACTTCTCAAATTCAGCCCTTCGATGAATAATTTTTCTCACCACTCAAAGCCATGTATAAATGCACTGTCTCTTTCGTAATTGCTCATGACCTGGACTTCCATGATAGCAACTGCAACTCCATAACCTCATCCGTGGTTTGCAGCAGGGTACCTAGATATGGACCCGGGGTATTTGAGAGTCCGTGTACTCCTTTATATTGTTTCTCATCTCATATAGACGGGAACTGTTAGAATGATGATGGGATAAACTATTTTTTACACGTTGCTCACATTGTGAGACTTTTCTATTTCAATCACTTTGTGTTGGACTATCATAACTACTGTTCCACTAGTATTTTTGCGTAAAATTACGCTGAATTGTACAAGCTCACTTCTACTCATGGAGAGGCATTGGGGCATTACTTTATCCAAAAGTGCTATAGCTTGGCCAGTCATCCGGCCGCCCTCTATTGAAGTGCATTTAGCTGCTGAATTTCGTGGCCACATCCTAAATGCTCGGAGAAGAAGGGTTCTATGTACTTGCTATCCGGTATGTGGAAGCAAAGGAAAAATTTATTTGTATTAGCATTTCTGGTGCTCCATACATATGAAGGAGGGCGGTAGGTAGTATATATTTATTTATTTACTTATTTNGTAAGAGTGTGCCCGAGTAAGGCAGAGAGCGGAAAATAACACAACTAGGCAAGGAGAAAACCACCGCCTTACATATTGTAAACTAAAGGGCTGTTATCAGGCAAAAAAATAAATAGAAAACAGAAACAAAACAACTCAGGAAAATCCAAATCAAATGGTAGGCAGAATGTAGCTCCGAATAGATGATTAATGGTCAGTGATCCTCACAGTACTCACGATAACGTCAGACAAAGCAGACCTTCGAGAAAATCCTCGGTCACTGGTGGTGGATACTCTTCCACTTCAAGGGTTACCTGGCACGGTTTATTCTATAAGACGGAAGGAAGCACAGCACACACTTGTCCCCTAATAGTGACACGAGATCAATGAAGGTGGATGGCGCTAGGGATAAAGCCACTCAACAAGAGCACAAGGGCATGCAAGTCGAACCACAGGATCAGATTTTCGGATGTTAGGCATTCCCTACCCCTAACAATCTGATCTCGGGCTCACCGGAATGAAATAACGGGGATACAGTAGGTCCCATCAGAATGTAATAACGGGAATATAGTATGTGAGTGCAAATCACAGCGTAGAAAAAAATTTAGCTCGTCGGCCAACCTACAGAGCCAGAAGGCATCAAGACCACTCAATCAAACTAGGAACAGAGGAAGGTAGCGAAAGAAATACATAGAAGCACTACATTCTAAATCTATATAAAAACATAAGAACGACATCAAGTCAAGTGCCTAACTTAAAGAAAATGAAAACTAAAGCCTGGAGAAGAACACTGTGGAATAACCCATATCCGATGTAACAAGACCTGTTACTGCAGAAGAAGTAGGTAATGTTGACGGCTATGATACAGTGCTGACGGTCATGGTCAAATGACGACAATAGCAAAGAAGCGAGCAAAAATAAAACACTGCAATGAAGTACGACTTTAACGGGCATCAACAAGACTTAAGACTTGAGGCAAACCGATTTTTTTCAACCTACTCCTAAAAACCTGACTGTTTTGGGCACTCATAACCTCACCGGGTGACGTTGAAACCATCGTGCCACACGATAATAGAAGAAGTCGAATAATCGATCAGGAATCCTGTTTGGGGTTTTCTGATAGTGCAAGCTAAAACCGCTAGATCTTTCACTGCAGGGTCTAAGTACCCAGTATTTACTTGGAGCCAAGTTCAATTCTTACGAAATAAATGAAATCCAAGAACGAGGACAGAAACTGTTCTTCCATGCCGCAGTTTTCAACCTGAGCCTTCGCAACCTCTCTTCATAACAAGGTAAATTGCGCCCACGAAAGGTGTTATTCATCCAAAGAAAAACTAGTCGGGTAAACGAGTGTTGAACACGTTCTAGCCTCTGACTATCCTTTCTACGAGTGGGGTTCCAAACCTGGAAAGCATATTCCAAGTGAGGCAATACATAGGATTTATCAAGCCGCACAAGAATAAGGGCCTTATTACTACGGACATTTCTGAAAATGGTGAAGAGCGAAGCATAGGCTTTACTGGTTACATGCTCCACATGGAAAGAGGAATTCAGACTTGTGACAATTATGACACCAAGGTCCCTCACAGTGTCAAATCTCGTCAACGTGACACCATTCATGCAGTAATCAGTAGGGGCTATTTTACCCATGTGAAGTTTAAAACATTTCTCCAGGTTAAGAGACAAGTCAAGGCCAGAGGCCCACGTCATCAGCCTTGCTAGGGATTTCGTGAGATTACTCCGGACTTCTTCGCAATTCCCTTCATCATAAAACCCGTACAACTTAATGTAGTCAGCATAAATTTGTGCTCTGGTGTTCCCAGAGGTACTGAGGATCCTTGCCAATTCCAAAGTATAGATCAGGAATAAAAGAAAGGAAAGCACTCTGCCCTGCGGCACTCCACTGGAACAATGGAAACGGCGAGAAAAACCGTTCCCTACTTCCACTGTCGAATGCCGGTCCTTCAAATATGACGTCATCCAATTCAATAAGCAACTGCTTATACCTAAGGTTTCGAGTTAACAAATCAATTTACAATGATTAACTCTGTCAAATGCTTTGGTCAGGTCAACATAAATAACATCGATGAATTTCCCCTGGTTTAGTGCAAGATACCAGTCGAATAGACTATCGACAAGATTAGTGGTCGTGCTCGCACTATTGCTTAAGGAAACCATGTTGTACTGGAGGTACAAGTTTGAACTTGTCGCACCAGGACAGCAACTTCGCTCTAGTTATTTTCTCCATTATTCTGATTGCCGTCGATGTAATACCTATAGGTCGAAATTCAGGGACCAAATGAGCGCCGGAGGCTTTTGGAATGGCAAGGACTAGCGCTTCCTTCCACTCCACTTCCTTCAACTTCAGGTACTTCACCCAACGCAAAGGAGACATTAAAGATGTGTGCTAGTGGGTTAGCGAGTAATAAGGCACAACGTTCAAAAAAACAGGAAGAATACCGTCGTAAGGTTCGGTGTTGGCATCTCAGTAGTTTGTAAATGCCGGAGGGGTGTAAGTAAATGCTGTCACAGGTGTAATGAAGAGCAAACTCAGACATGTTACGCACCCCAACTGTATCACTCGAGTTTGAGAAAAAAAAGTTTGAGAAGAAAAAAAAGAAATCACGAAGCGCGATTGCTTTGCCTTCATCAGTAAAAGGTTTGCACCCATCGACATCAACTACAACCGGTAAACGGGGGTCATCTCTCATTTTGTTTCCTATATACCCTTAAAGATATTTTGCGGAAGACTGTGAAGGCGAATGACGCTCATTGATCCCAGAATTTCTTGGAATGACAGTTAATATCACGGCAAACTTTCTTGTGGCGAACATCAATCAATGGATTGACAGCGTTATCGAAGATACGCTGCTTTTGCGAAAGTATGTTGCGTATACGAGCAGGAAATTTGGGACAGGATGGGCCATGATATTTAAATGGCACGTGAGAGGCCAGCTTATCATAGATTACTAAGCAAAACCGACGATATAAATCAGACGCCATAATCCATCGAAAGTTTGTAACCAGTCAACCTTACTGAAGCTACGGTTCAATGCGTTAGTCAGTTCTAAAAAAGTCGGGTGTTGGTAAGCATATGGCGTTCGCGAAAGCACTACGTCCACTAGGAATGAAACAGCTGAGTGATCAGTCGTCCCTAAGTGAGGGTTAATTGTCACATTGCGTACTACAGGGGAGGAAGAGGAGATCCGATCAAGAATGTTACCTACATGGGTAGGGTGTCGTACCAACTGGCTGAAGCCGGATTGGGTGAAGAA